AAAAAACAAAAAAAAAAAAAAAAAAAAAAAAAAAAAAACACATCATAGTAAAATTAATACCTTCTCCGCTTCGCATCGAAGCTAAAAATCTCATTGAATATTTGACAACTACAAATCAATCTTACATAAAGTTTTGAGTATTATATTTAATATTTATAATTTTAAATTATAACCTTAGAATTTATTACAAGGGGCTTAGCCCTCTCGAAAAATAATTTAGAAAATTTAGTATGTTGTTGTATACAGTAAGTTTTGGGTGGGGTAAAAATACAATGAGCACCATCAAAAACTTTATTCTAGTCTGCTTATGATTATATTTTAATACAATATAACATATATCAAATTTATAAATATTTAATATAAGATAAATAAAATAAATAAATATTTAACATTATAATTTTATTTTTATTATTTAAGCTGAGAAAAATGTCTCATGAAAATATGAATGTTTATCCTTGGGGTCCTGCAGATGTATGTCCCCGAGGTATGATACTTCCAATTTTGGATGAACGTTTATGGCCTATCAGTATTCGTATAATCGTGTATTTTTCAACACTGTTGTATTTTCTCTTGGGAATATCTATTGTTACCGACGCTTTCATGACATCTATCGATAAAATCTCTAGTCATACTAAAAAAGTATACTTGTCTAAGCAATTGTCTAGAGCTTATTTAGTAGATTGTATATTTCCAGACCAATCAGAAGTAATTGAAGTTAATGTATGGAACCCGACATTAGCAAATCTTATCCTAATGGCCTTAGGTTGGTTTTATTGAATCCCTATGATAAATTATAAAAATATTAATTAAGTCAATAAATTGATATAGGTACATCATTACCGGAAATATTGTTATCCATTATTGAAATCGTTGGTCACAATTTCGAGGTTCATAAACTTGGACCGAACATAATTGTTGGATCCGCAGCATTTAATTTATTAATCATTACTAGCCTTTGTACGCTGTCATTGAAGCCAAATGAATCAAAAAGAATATATAATTTAGAAGTATACATAATTTTAACTTTTCGCTACTCTAAATGCCACGGAAGTACTACTTTTTTCCATCCAAACACCTTAAAACTTTGTTATAATTTATTTAGAAGGACAAATAAAAATTTGATATATATTATTGCGTGGTATTATATCTAGTGTAGCAATTTTACAATTAATCAATAAAAACATTGATATTATAAGAATAATTAATATTAATTTACAGGTATTTTTAGTTATTGGAACATTTAGTTTTATTTCTTATTTATGGTTAATGTTTATCATTGATATAATTTCACCTAGCATAATTGAACTATGGGAAGCATCTGTAACATTTATGTTGTTTCCGATATTTATCTTATTTGCTTATGCGATTGATAAGAGATGGTATAGCATTAACAAACATCACAAGTATGAAATAGACGTTGTCAAGTTAGAAGACCAAAGTAAGCAAAATTGTTAATTTTTATTATTGAATAGTGCTGCCGAAACGCAATAAAATTACAAGAACAGTTATTTCAAGTTTGTAATATTCTGGCCTTTAAGTGGCAAAACAATACAAAAAGAATTTTTATACAATTATAAGCGTCCCACCTTTCCATATAATTACATAGGTTTCAAATGAATTTTAATTGACGTATATTCAAGACTGAGCAAGCTACTAAATTTTTTAAATGAGTTAAGTTTAGTTAATTTTAAAAGTAGAACGTTAAGTTAACGTATGTACATTTTTAAGTTAGTTAAGATAAAAGTAACTAGAAAAAAATTCTAAAAATGTTCAAATTTTTCTTATATACTTAAATATATTTAAAATTTAATTTATTTTAAATAATATAAGTCACAAGTGATAAATTTTTATTATATGTCTTAATTAATTACATATAAAGGTACAAAAGTAACTAGTTAAATTAAAAGTTAAACTCACTAAAAAAATAACGAGTCAACTAACATAATTAAATTAATTTAACGTTTTAACTTAATTTTAACATTATTATGCGTTAATTCCTAGCTTTGCGTTTGTTAGTTATCATTGGAGGTAGAGGAACTAGGTCTTATATACTATAACTATATATAACTAGGTAACTATATTATTATAATACTTTTATACTTTGTCATCAAAAAATTTTCAAGATCAACCAATGTATAATAAGAATGAAATGGACGAAGATAATTTATTGGCATTTCTTAAGAATGCAAGTAAATTTCCAGACGTAACAGAATTAGATGTTGCCAAATTAGCAGCCGTTAAAATAATGGATTCGACTTATTCGAGTTCAATACGATATCGGATTAGAGAAGCAAGGCGACTTTCTGGTAGAACTAAACGTCATTCTATGCTTGATGGCCGTCTTCGTCAGGTAATGATAATTTTTTAGTATTTTTCAAAGTAATAATTATTTTTAATGTATTTTGTCCATGAAAAAAGCTGTACGATGTTTTAATGTTAAATGAATCAAATGTGGTAACTAACACATTATCGTCAATTTCTGCTGATGAAAAATGTGCTGTTGTTGAATTTTGTTCACATCATATAGCAATTAGAGAAAACATCGGAAAATATCCAGTTAAAATTTGGAGGCACGGAAATTTAAAAACAAAGTGTACTGTTAGGTATGTATTATCTATTAAACATTTCTACGTACCATAGTAAATATCTAATCTACTGTAAAAATAACCTATTCTTTCGTTCTCTTAGAATTCATAGCTTGGATGGAACAGCTAAAGAAGGTGAAGACTATATAAAAGTCAATGAAATAATTAATTTTAAAGAAAATGAAGAGAAAAAACAGGTAGATATTTTTAAACTAAGTAGTATTATCAAAGAATCGTTTTGGACTTTTTTTTACTGACAGATATTTATTGAAATAATCGATGATGATAAATGGGAACCCGATGAGAATTTTTTTCTTAAACTGTCTTTAGTACGTCAAAAAAAATTTAATGTAAAAATTGGTAGTTTATCGGTAATGGAAGTGACGATAATCGATAATGATGGTATACAATTACAGAAATAGTTTCTATTTAATCTTTCTCTACTTTTTAATAGAACCAGGTATAATAAGTTTTGCTAAACGAGGATTATTTATAAATGAATACGTTGATTTTGTTGAAGTCCCTATTACTAGAACACACGGTTCTGACGGTGTTGTAAACGTTAAATGGAAGATCACAGACCGATCGGCTATTTTGGGAAAATACTTCGTAGGTAGTCATGGAGAAATTGAATTTAAGGATAAAGAGGTAGTTAAAGTTTTAATTATCAAATTAATCAATAAGATGTTTATGGAAAAAGGTGAATTTTTTGAAGTTGAATTATTTGATATTAGTGGTGGTGCTGAAATTGGAAATTTCAATAAGATTACTATTACTATCAGCAGAGATATAGGTAAATAGTAACATGTTTAATTTTATATAAAATCATTTATCAAATATATTATAAATGAAATATATGAATTTGAAAAAAATTTACATTGTTTTTAATGTTAAATAAAAGTATGAAAAAATAGATTAAAAGTATATTATTTTTGCATATTATTTCTATTTAGGTGATTTAATAGGAAAAATAAAATTTTAATTATATTTTATTGAATTTTAAAATGGCTGTTATTTTTCAAGTCTTGAAATTTTAAGAGTGCTAACTAGAAATTTGATAGCCTATTTGGTTAAAGGTAACGTCTATTAAATTTGATGGTTGTATTATCTATTAATAACTATTGTCACTTTGTCAAGAACCTACGAACTTATTTTGAAAAGATTTTTTTTATAGAGATGGCCTACGACAAATTCGTTTATTAATTATAGACTACGAATAAATGCTTGTGTAAAGAAGCTAAGTGTGCAGTAAGTAAGTCGAAGTTTAAGAGGTATGATAAACTTGGAACAAAAGAAAGTGAAAAAGAAGTTTATAGATCTGCAAAAGTAAGAAAAAAACGGACTAAATATTATCACTATGTAAGGTGTATAAAAAATGATGATAAGAGGGTGCTATCGAGCGATCATGATATGAAAAAAGGGTATTTTGAAAAATTACTGAATGAGGAGTAATCAAGAAAGACATTAGAAGATATTTCATGAAACAAGGCACTGGTAAATTTCATTAGCGAGAATGAGGTATAGGATGTGACATCAATGAAACATAATAAATCAGTTGAATCAGATTATGTGCCACTGTAGAAGTAAAAAAAAGTAGGTGGTTGAAGGATCTTATTGATCCTATTAGAAGGAAAAATGGCCATAAAAATGGAAAAATGGCATTGTGGCGCCTATATTTAAAGGCAAAGGAGATATACAAGAGTGTGAAAATGATAGAGGCATAAAGCTTTTGAGTGATAATATGAAGATTTAGGAAAGAATATGAAACATCAGTATAAAGAATCAGTTTTGTTTTTTGTCTGGAAAATCAACGATAGAGCCAGTTTTGTGTGTAAGAAAACTAATAGAATAGTATAGGAAAAATAAAATAAAAAATGAAAACGTTTTAAAGTGAACATCAATGAAAAAAGGAGTCCCAAAAATTATATTTACATTATAGAAGATATGTATGATGGTATTTGTACCAGGATAAGTGTGAGAGGAGTAATAGAAGGTTTTAGAATAAGAGTAGGAGTGCACCAAGGTTCTGCTTTAAGCCCTTACTTATTTTTCATAGTCATGGATAAAATTACTAGAAAACTACAAGAAGAGGTGCCGTGGTATATGTTGTTTGCTGACGATATAGTGTTAAAAGAAGAAAATATGGAGGAAATTAATCAAAAGGTAGAGGTGTGGAAGAAAACCAAACCAGTTCTTGAAGAAAAGGGTTTAATGCCGGCCATACACGATACGGTCTACCGGAGAGGTCTGCCTGTGCAGGTAGACCGTATCGTGTATGGCTGGCATAAGAATAAATAAGAGTAAGATAGAGTTATAGAGTACGAGTTTGATAAAGGAAAACACGAGGTAGGTGGAATGAGGAGACCAGTGACAATAAGCGCGGACGTAATAGAACAATTAAAAAGTTTTAAGTATTTAGGATTAGTTGTGCAAAAGAGCGGTGGTATTGGTACAGTATTAAGTGCGAGTGATTGAAGAGGAGAGATGTGTGTTGTGCAATAAAATAATTCCAGTGAGGCTGAAAGGTAAGTTCTATAAGACTGTAGTGAGACCACCTATGATTTATTGTTCAAAGTGTTAGACCGTTGACAAGAAAGTAGAGCAGAGAATTAGTGTAGCAGAGATGAGAATGCTTAGATGGATGAGTGGAGTGACTACAGAAGATAGGAAAAGGAATGAACATATAAGAGGGAGTATAGGTGTAGCGTTAATCGTGGATAAGATGAGAGATAATAGACTTAGATTGTTTGGTCATGTTATGAAAAGAGAGGAATCAGAAGCTGTAAAAAAAGTTATAGAAATTAATGTCGAAGAAAGAAGAGGTAGAGAAAAATAAAAAAAGAGATGGAAGGACGTGATAATTTAATACTTTTTAATTTAAGATAATTATTAGTTTTAAATTTTTAGGACCCCAAAAATGTTTTTCTAGTTGCGTCACTAATTATAATTAGTTAATTATAATAAGTATAATAAAGTTATTTAAATTGCAAATACTGGGTTATCCTGTATAAGAAATATTTATAATTAAAATTAAAGATCAAATTTTCATTTAAAATAAATTTTAATATAATACAATAAAATTTGATATCCATAGATTTAACAATGGACCGATTGGTGATACTTACTAACAACCATATTAATGAAATTGGTTTAAATCGACAAACATGGTTAGAACAAATAAAATCTGCTATGACTGTTAATGAGGGAGATTTAGAAAATGCTACAACCTTTACATATATGCTACATTTTTTATCATTTTTTTGGAAAGTTTTATTCTCTTTTATACCACCAGCAACTATTTATCATGGTTGGTTAAGATTTTTCATATCTTTAGTACTCATTGGAATAATGGTCACTATCACTGATGACCTAGCTACAATTTTAGGATGTCTAATCGGTTTAGATGATGTTATTACAGGTATGTGTGATAAGTAAAAAAAAATAATATTACCTAAATATTATTAATGATAGTTGTTATAATAAATGGAACTCCTTAATTCTGTTATATGATTCACCTAACAGAGTTTAATTTTTATCGTTATATACCTTAATTAACAATACGTTGATGTTGTTGAAAAATCTTTTATGGTTAATCTTTATTAAAAAATAAGTTTATAAACCAATAGTTACTATAATTAAAATAAAGGCTAGGATAATTAATTATCAGGAAAATCATAATCATAATAGCTAATAGCTCATAAAAAATTTTGAAAGTGGTCCGGAAAAACTAACACCTTTATACATATCTTAAATTAAAACTTATGAAATATAATTTACTATGAACAAAAAAAATTTCATACTTCAGATTGTTTTCATGGTGATAATGGTTACCGTATTCAAAAATATGTTTTTTTGTGTTATAATTTTCGGTTTTTTTAGTAATTAATAATAATATCAAAACTTAGAAGTGTTAGAAAAAATTTAATTTCAGATTTTAGATAGTGCGAAAAGTTGATTTAGAAAAGTATATTTTTGATTCCGATGAAAGTTCTTTGTAGACCGATGTATTTTTCATAAGTAAAAAAAAAAATGTTTATAAAGTATTGCATCCATTCCTTTCATTTTTATACATGTTTGTCATAGAAGTAACAAAATATACTGCTTTATCATTTTCTATTATTTCTCTATGAAAATTATAATACGAAATTATTAAATATTTATTTTATACTACGTTGAATTGTTATAATAGATATTTATTCAAATATTATACTTATAAATCATAGAACTACTAATTAGGAATAATGAAGGAAGTAGAGAAGTTCATTATGCTTTTGAAATAATCTACCTATTTCTTAAAATTAAACACTATGTAAGGTTTACATCGAAACGTTTCTTATGATGGTAATTAAAATCACTGCCAGATAACATCTATACTTGTCCCAACTATCCCATTTCTATACCGTGCTATCGTTTTTTGTTATTGTTATAAAACATCTAAACAAATGTTTTTTTTGTTGAAGCAATTACAATCGTAGCCCTGGGAATGTCGTTGCCAGATATCTTAGGAGCTTGTATTGTCACCCAAGTAGAAGAAAACGCTGATGAAGCCATGATCCATATTGCTGGTTCAATAACCATTAAAGTTCTCATGGGCGTCGGTTTACCGTGGTTTATTGCAGCTTTACATCATTATTTCAACGTAAGATTAAAAATTTGAAATTAAAAAAGGATAAATACAATAGTAATAAAAGAACTAATCATCATAGTTTAAGTTATAGTTCTTATATTCTATTTTTAAAATAATTTATTTTTCTGTTAATTAAACGTGTCTTTAGGAAATTCTTAATTTAAATTCTGGAACAAATGAAAATTTTTTATGCTTTTATACATTTTTATTAATTTAATGAAAATTTATAATAAATTAGTATAATAATTAAACATTATTGACCTTGGACTTTTAATCATTCTCTGTGAATACGGAAAAAGGTTTAGGTGCTTTAACCCATTAAAATTTGTCGATGCAAATTTATTATAGCAACACACGGATTATGAATGTTTCTTTTTCTATCACAAAATATTGCTGACTTCTTTTTGTCATCATTTTGTGATTTGAAAATACCTACCAATAAAAGATCATTTGTATATTTGTAATTGTTCTATCTCTTTATAAATAAAGAGATAGAATTATGTGGATATTAAAATATCCACATCCTTAACATATATTTAGGCAACATTTAATCTTTACATAAGGCAAAACATTTTAGAATTGCAAGTTTTTTTATTTAGCTACAAACTCGCTCACTAAAAGGTTGACTATAAATTAAAGAAGGGTGATTGATTTAATTTGATAAACTACCATAATACCATAATATGTGTAAAATAATTTATAAGAGTAAAAAATTATAAAATACTAAATGTTCTGTAAGATTTTTCTACAAAATGATTCAAAATGACTTCTGATCCTTACCCGTGTACTTTTTAATTAATTAGGAAACGGGTAAATTATTATAAGTTATAGAAAGACTATTGTTTAATTTTTTAACGCTGTTTATTTTATTATAAAACTAAGGTAAATTACACTGCTCTACAAAATGAATTTTGTTTAATCATCAGAGACAAAAATATAGTTCTTATAACCAATCTTTTGCGTTGGTATCAATTCTATAATTAGATTTTTTCTATCACCACTAGTTTTTGGGATAATTACTAATTTGTAAAATACGAGTAATTACACAAAAAAATGAATTAAAAAAAAAAATTTCAAATTATTACTTGTTGGGTTTTTTAATATATTACAGTTATAAATTTGAAATTGACATTAAATTGGACATTTTATGTGAATTAAAAAAATAGTATTGTTTATATAGCTATGCTAAACTTGTATTTTACTAATTAGTAATTATCTTAAAAATTAAAGGCAATTGAAAAACTCTAATTGCAGGTTTGAAATCATCAAAAAAATTGGTATACGAAATTACATTATCATTTCTGATGAAATTTCCTTGTCAACCATGTTATTTATCTTGATTTCTCAATTGAATAATGTTAATTTATTATAATCAAATTTCCAGGTTTCTATATTTTTAACCTGTTTAAAATAATTTAATAAAAATATCGAAAAAGAGTCGCTCTAAATACGAGTACGATCCTCCCAAATTTGTTTTATTTTATTATAAACTTCTTAGTCCACAGGGATAAATGTCTAAATTTAGTGTGTTAATCTGTTCTTGACGATGATGTTATATTAACATAATGAACTGCTTAGCAAACATTTAAAATCGTCATTTACATTGGTTGTCGAATATCAAATTAATAATTTTGTCTGTAAATGAACTGGCAATCATAAAATAACTCATTCATAATTATTTTTAGGGGCTATACACTATGGGTATTACATAATTATAGCACACCTAAATTTAAATATTAATTACGTCATTTCCTCCTACTAGAAAATGCTATTATTTAAATTGATATTGATCAATTTTATTTTATAATAATAAAACATTATATTCTAGTTTCATGCTTTATATTTTATTGAGGATTTAGGATTTAAGAAGCGTATCAAATAATTTCTTACTTTTCAGGAAAGCAAAATAAAATTTTTTATTAATTTTTAATTCTTTTAAAAATGATGCCTTTAAATATACAGAAATAATAAAAAAAAAAATCCCAATTTTGTTGGTTATGTTCCTTTATTCTAGGTCCTATTTTTAGGGTAACAACATTATTTTTTTAAAAGGGAACATACATAATTAACTAGTTTAATTATGAGAATAATCTAATAAGAAAATAACAGTTTGATAATAACTTTTGGACCAATATTTCAGAAATTATTAACATTTTTTTACCTAATTGAGAGAAGGAGTGCGGTTGAGAAATGTCTAGTGATAAAAATAACAACCGCAATTCTGCCTCAGTCATTACCTTAAATAAACAATAAATTACAAATTTCAAAAGTTGTTATTAAACAGTTATTTTTTAAACTTAATTACTATCTAAAAAATAAGCTAGTTAATTATGCATGATCCTACTAAAAAAAATAATGTTGCTACCCTTAAAAGACATAAGAAATAAACATAAAAAATTCTTAATAATTGAAAAATTGAGAAAAGTATGTATTTAAAAGAAAATAACAAAATAGTTGTGTGTATATTGTAACATAAATATATTTTTTAAATAACTTGAGATTTTGTTTTATACATATTTGTAGAATAGCAACTTTTTAATATTGACAAATGAGATCGATATCAATGTGTTTGTCTATTGTACTGTGGCTATTTTGGCTATAGCAGTGTTGATAATCCGAAGAAACGTCAAGTTTTTTGGTAGAGCAGAACTAGGTGGTCCACAAAACGGTAGACTTCTAACTGCATTTATATTTATCACTCTTTGGTTAATATATATATTAATAACTTCTTTTAAATGTACATTTAGATAAATAAATGTTTTAAATATTATAGATATAAAAATAATAATCATACTGTTTAAGTTCAAAAACATCCTTCGATTATAAAATTATAGAGATTTTAATATTCGTCGTACACACTTAATTTGTTTTGCCAGTTAAATCTGACTTGGCGTTAGTTTAAAGTGTGAAGTGACTATTGAATTAAATATTTTTTGGAATTTCATACTACCTACATTTCACTTCATATTAAACACTTTAATTTAAAAAACACAAAAGATTTACCATAGTAATGATTTTACCAATTTGTTGTTAAAATAAAAAAAAATTATACCTAATATTTATAAGTAGGAATAATTAAAACTAATGATGTCTAACCACTGAGAGTCCCTATTGATTGTAATTTAAAATATATAATTATAATTCGGTAGCAAAATGTCAAGTCTGAGGATATAGCCTTTTCTAAACAAAAATCTCTCTCATAAAAATAAAAACAATAAAAATTTATTATTTATTATTATATACGATGTAGAATAATTATTTTATTTCCAATATAAATTGTTTTTTTGTTAATTATACAATCTGTTACAGTTAAATATTATATAAGTGGAATAACAGAGATATGCAAAAGTTACTTTGACTTAATATACGTAATAATTTTAATTTATGATGTTTTCTTTATGATAATATTCTAATAATAGTATATTATCATATAGACACCCGTAAACTTTATTATTCTGACTTCTTAGACTCAGAATAATAAAGCTATTAAACTACTTATTGAGCGAGTATGTTTAAAATAAATCTGCCATTGACTTTTGGCTAATTTTCTGCTTTTGAATACGCCACTGATTTCTAAAATATATTTTGTCTAGGTATTTTATTTAATTAAAAATAATTTGGTTTCTTTTAAAATCTTTGGACTTTCGATGACATTTTTTTATGAGTTTGATACCAGCGTAATCTAAGTCTAGAAAATTCACTATCTCATCAGATAATATATACTCATTAAATAAAATAAATGTGATATTTAGAATGAACTCAAAATCAAAGGTCAGTTCAGAGAAAATTTGAACATATGATGTAATCAATTTTTGTATCATTATGTAAATAGCTTTTTGTCAAGGCTGCATTTAGGAATTGTGTCACTCGGTGTACTATTTTATTTTGATCATCAAAAAAAAATGTTATCTGAATGAGCAGATATTAATTATATAGTTTTTATTGCTTCATATTTTAGTGCCACCTGGGATACTTGTACTCAGTGCTTCCTCCTAAATGCAGACCAGCTTCTCGAAGAAGAAATATAAGAATACCATATAAATTTAATATTTATTTACTTCATTACAATAAAAATCATAGTAATCATTTTTATGAAACTTTGGTATTTAAATAAATACTACAATTGAAATATTCAGAACTATATCCTGTGTAGTTATACTCTATAATACAATAATATTCAGAAATATTCCAGTCCTAGTTTCTCCTATGATTTTGTCCGTTTTTTTTTTGATTATTTATTTTTTTATGTGTAAATATTCGTTTTTTACAAATTAGTAATTATCTCAAATATTAGGATGTTATAGAAAAAATCTAATTGTAGGTTTTAAATCAGTGAGAAAATTGGTTTAGAAAAAGTATATTTTTGTCACTGATGAAAACTCCTTGTAGACTAGTTTAGAAAAAAATTTTCTTGTATCAAGTTTTAATAGACGTTTGATAAAAAAGTAACGAAATATATTACTATTTTATACTTTCTATAAATTCTATTACTATAAATAAAATTATAAACTACTAAGCTTTTATTCTTATGTCATACTTATAAACTAAAGAACTAATAATTAGGATATAATGAAGAAAATAGGAGTTGATGTTGCTTTTGAAAAATCGACCAATTTCTTAAAAATAAACACTATGTACAGATTTACATCAAAACGTTTTTTATGATAGTGATTTTAATCACTGTCAGATATTATCTATACTGTGTAAAATTTTAAATGTTTTTTCTTATTTTGTCAGTTTTTATAATGATTTATACATATAGTAAGGTGTTTTAAACATAAACTAAAAATTAAACTCTACCAATTTAGTTATGCTACCCAAAACAATTTTTACTTTTTGATAAGATCTAGGAGACAACTATAAAAATAAATACATTTTTTATTATTAATAAACAAGTTTCAATATAAAATCATGAAATTATTTATTTAACATCAAAACTCTATAAATGAATACAAGTAACTTACAGTTTCGTAATAAAGTCCTTAAATTCTACTAAATAAAAAAATTGTATCACAAAAATGTATGCTAACTATTCTCACTTACAGGGTTGGTTGACAAAAGTAGTTTCAGTAGAAATCGAAGGTCCAGATGTTTTTATTTTATTTTATTGGGAAAGAAGTTGGCGTTTGTAGGCCTTAGCTCTGAAAGAAATGTTATTCAAGGGGAACAACATTGCCGATGTAAATTATTTAAAATTTCTTCCTTTCTGTTATCAAAAAGTTTTTATTAATAGATGTTACAAAAAATCGTCTACTCTTTTTTTCTATGATATAAACAATTTTTCAAGTAATTGAGAGTAGCTTTAGTTGATGAATATACTGACCCTGTTTGTAACTTTATATTACTTATATTTTATACTAAAAATAATACATTTTTTTAAAAACAAATTAATGAATTGTTGGCCAATTGTCAAAAATATTTTATTATATTTTTATAGTTGACTTGAATAAAAAGTAAACAAGATTATTTTTTTATTAGGATGCTTAAATAGGATAAACAATGTTGTTTAAATCAACACCGTATGGAGATCTTATGCTTAAGTTTTTTTCTGTGATAAATTAGTACGCATATATTCAAAACACTTTTACTGTTGTATTTATTCTCTAAGTATAACTCAAAATTTTCAAGTTTGAGTGCATACATATATGAAAAAAAAATTTTGGAGTTGTTTTTCGTTATAATATTTCATAATTCCGATTCAAGTAATTAGAGATATTATGTTTTACGCACTGGCAATTGTGTCGCTCCTGATTTTCTTGGAGATAAAACTTTCTAAGAAAAAAAAATCTTTAGCTAAAACAATTGAACCTAATATGAGTACTTGTCCGATTTTGACACACATCCTATTAATTTGACATAATTATTGACAAATAATTAAATTTTAGAAGAAGAACCGCTCAGAGAAGATAAAAATACTTTTATTGAAACTGAAAAAGAGCCCTTTAAAACTATTACAGAGAAAATTATATTAACAGATAATTCATTTAACTGGGACAGACATCGTTAAATTATAATCTTTGAACCTTATCAATTGAAATATTGCCAGAAAATACTATTAAAATACCTTACACAAACATTTTATACCTAAATAATAAAATTGAACTCATTAAAAAACTGAACCCAGAAATTGTTACGAAAATTGAAACCACCACTCTTACAGAAATTTCTGTATTAGCTGATAATTTTTTTAACTCGAACATAACACAGTCAAATAATAATCTTTCAACCTCACCGTCTGAAATATTTTCAGAAAATATTAACACAATAACTCAAGAAAACATCACCTTAATAAATAATTCACTCAACTTTAATCGAAAATCATCTTAAAAATTAGCAGCAAGTATTAAAACATCTAATATTAACAGTTTGTTGCTAAGTAAAAAAACTGAACCCATCACTTCACAAGTCCCTGAAAAGACTAAAGTGAATGGAACTTTACAACTTGAAAATAATAACAAAGAAAAATTAGCTACTAGTATTCTGTCCTATGATATTAAAAAATATTTATGGGAAAAGAGGTACTTATTGTTTTTCAAATTCGACGAAGGAATCATGATGAACAATGGAAATAAAATAATTATTTAAGCAAATTCTAATTTTTTAGTATTAAAGATAATTTCTTTTCTTCAGAATCATTTTATTCTGTTTGTCCCGAAATTTTAAGCATTCATATAGCTTTACGATAACTCGGTCTAGACGTTACTATGGATCAGATTTATGGTGCTGGTGGAAATGTCATCCAATTGGCCAAGAGATACACACAAGTAATTGCTGTGGATATCGATGCTAAAAAAATAAAATTCGCTAAAAGAAACGCAGAGATTTATGTAGTCAGGGACAAAAATAAATTTATACAGGGAGATTTCTTCGAAATTGCAGAAACTTTAAAAAATATAAGCCACAAGACATAGTTACGCGTCCTCCATAGGGCGACCCTTCTTATTAGAAACACGAAGTTTACAGTCTTGAGAAAAATATGTGTGACGACTACCAAGGAGTCGGTTAAAAACTCTTCGACCTGCTGAGAATTATTGCTCTCAACGTATTACTGCACTACCTAATACTACAAGACCTGTAGTTAATTAGAAACTAATCTAATTTCTAATGAATGACACAATTCTATTACTGCGTTTTTCGGGAGATTTTTCAACATAAACAAGAATTTTTATCTAACGTCAACAAAATTTACACGAATAGAAAACTCTTGAAGTGTTAGCTTTAATCAGCTAATTACTATTTTTTTGATATTATAATTCAGCCATTTTTCAACAATTTTCGATTTAGACCTGCTTCAAATTTTAAATCTTTCTAATTATTCACATTATTCCGTAAAGACACATAAATATTTCAACATATTTTAATTTTCAATATTTTACCTTTATAAACATATCTATGTAGACATAACCGATTTTTGAAATAATTTAAATACCTAAAAATTCTTTTATTTTTGCCGCAGCTTGCTGTTAAATGGCATTTTAATGAAAAGTAAAATTTAAATTATTGTATCATGATTATATACATTTCATTTTAAAACATATAATATATTTCTTGATTTTTCTTATGTACTTTTTATTATATAATTTAAATTTTTTTGATTAACTTAGTTTTATGTTTAATTTTTTATCTGTAAATTACTACATGAAATTGTTCTTGAATATATTTTGTTGATTACAAAAAAGTAAATATACTTTAATCGCTAAAATTGCTTTGTTCGAAATATTTTTTTACTATATTATATTATAAATAAATATTACAACAATTGAATGCTCCAAATTATTTTTTTACATATTAATTTGAAAATGTTTTATTAGTTTATCACTAAATTATTTTTCAATAAGTTGATTTATGTTAGATAAAAATTATTAGAAAATTTTCTAATGCCGTTTTTCATAAATAATTTAATTGTAAAAAAAAATGTTATCTTATAAATTATTTAAAGAATAGTAATAAATGATTTTTGTAAATTATGAAAAAATATAAAATATAGAAGAAAATAAGTGGAGATAGTGTTAATCCACGATTTAAACAAAAGGTAAAAATGTATTTATTTTGCTTGAGTATAGAAGTAAATACCTTATCATATCTTTGAATTTTTATTATTTTAAACGTATAGGTTTATAAAGGGCAAAAAACAAATATTAAATAATATTACGAAAGAGTTATTGAGAAATAAAAATAAATATAACCATGGTTTTTTCTTCACATAACAACGTTTTGACCATATATTTTTTTAATTACCTTTGCAATGTATCACATAGGGTGTATGTAAAATATTTTGATAATAACTTAATAATGTAAATTCTTATTTGTATAGGCAGAGTAAGACAATTTTTTTTAACTTTATAGAAAATAGTTTACTATCAACGAGTTAATAGTTTAATCAGTTACTTTTTATAATAAATTAAATTTAAATAAGTTGATAAAATCTCATTAACTTAATAAGTTAAGTCAATGCAAGTGCTATTAGGTTCACAAAAATATCCACAGATTTTGGAAGACTATATTTTCTCTATTATTTCTTGAGATATTTAGTTTTAAAACCCCTTTTATGTTTAAAATAATAGTTTAAAACTAAAAATTATAAAAAATACACATTTTAGTATGGTTTAAGCGTTAATGATGGTAACATTGTCCCCGAAATACGTATTCCCGACGTTATAGTAATTTTAGTGGCACTTTAAGTTAAATATTAGATACAAGTGATCAATTCTTAGTATGCCCTTTTTTATTGTTAAAAATATAAATGTAGTGTATTATTTTCTTTTTGAAAAAATTGAGATACGTAGGTTTGATGTGGAAACAACAATACGCAAAACACAATAATTTTTTAAATCATATTTATAATTTTATTTTATTTACCCTAAAATCTAAACATCTATGTTAAGCAAATAATTTTAACATTACATAACTTATTAACTTGCTCTTGCTCTGCCTTGAATTTGTATACAATAATATTTAAACTAGAATTAAATCTATGTTAGAAATAATTTTATGGCAGTCATTTTTTCACTGAAAATAAAACGAAATTTGTATTTTCCGGTCACTACGAAAAAAAAATCTAAAATAAATAGTATATAATAATTCCATTTGTGTGATACATTTATGTGAAAGAAATATTTTTTTAAGAGTGGGTTGTTATTTTTTTGTATCCTTTAAGACAATATCGCAATATTGTGTCACCAGGTTTTAAGCTAACATATGTTATGGGCCTTAGTTTTTCTTTGGGGTGTAAAATTCAATAAATGATTATACATATGATTTAAAATTGAAACTATATTAAAAATTAAATTAGCTACAAGTTATCCATTTTTATTATATAGATTATACATATGATTAATTTATGAATTTCTTTTAGTCTTTAGTCATATCTATTATTGTTCTTGTCAAATATAAATCATCTTAATGACCTAAATATATTAAATTTTGTATAAATCCAGTGATTAAGGAGAGATTTAAATAATCTCCTCGTATCTACTACATTGAATCACTTATTTATTACCGTGTAATCAGTAACAAAATAATATAAATTATTACCAAAAAATGGAACTACATTTTTTAGTTGTCAAATAGTACCGCTCCCTGAGGTTGGTATTCTTTGAAATTTTTCATTGTTTAATCCACATCCGAATTTTCAGTATAACTGCATCGAAATAATAACCAAGAAAATAAGATACTAACATAAGCATTACATAGCAATGATGATAATTATACTACTCCTATTTAGTCAGGTGATCCCCGCCAAGTAGACACGTTGAAAAATAATGTAAAAGAGTGGAGGGCGTAATGGAGGATTTTTCCAGCAAAACGATTATTACAAGTCTATTATGTATACATTATGTTATTATACTTTCTCCGCATGTTTTCATTTCCCCTTCTTTCGTTTCGCCGTGTGAAACGTGTGCCGGCAGTAGAAGCAGCTCATCGTGGCAGTCGAATTTCGAACTCTACGCCAATTGTACTGTGTCATGTAATTTAACAAAGTTTTGTGATATTCTATGCCATGTCAAACAATTCTAATAAAATGTTTTTAATTAATATAAGATTATTTTGATAATTTTTAATTAATTCAGTTTTTAGTTTACTTATAATGATTTAATATAAGATAGTATTAAAATTAAAATGTGTATCATATGTTTATGTGTTTTTATAAGGATAATTGTTGGAATGTAACGTTAAAAATATTTTATGAATGTCAACAACAGTCTAAAATTAAATTGCCCTACATTTGGATACAATATATACTTTACTGTAAATATATATTTACTGAAATAGGTGAGAAAATTGTTTTATGATTTTGTACAAAGGCAAGTGGCAAACATAAATAAAATTAAAATAAATGTTTATAAACTTTTATTTTAAAGTAACTAGAGTTAGTTTACGATTTCATTTTACTCCAAATCAAATCTCATGGGAATAAGTACAATTTTGAACATGAATATGGCTATTTTGCTCTACTATTGTAAACATATTTATTTAAGAAATATGAAAAAAATATATAATATGTAGACATCCAGGTATTCTCTAGAGAATCAAAATCTAACCTGATTCAATTAAAGTCTAACTTGCGCTTACTATCTATTTTTGTATGAATAATTCGGTGCATAATATCACCTAATTTTTTAGATTGATAAATTATAATATGAAAAATTTGGTTTTAATGTGTGATTTTTATACTAGAATTTTTATGAGAAAAAGTAACATTTTTTTAATGTAGTTTAGTTGTGTCTGTACAATAAAATGTACTCGGTTGTTTTATAATTCATGTTAAATATTTTCAAATATTTCCGTATTGAAATAGATGTGTTTAAATTTTATCATTACGGAATAATAGTAAAGGATTTATTAGTAAATTTGTTATTTTGCTTAAGATTTAAACATATAAATGAATACTTCTCACAAATAAATGTTAAAAAAAAGTTGTTAAACTTACGAATGTGTAATAGCTTCATGGATTGATATATTACGGGAATTATTTTCAGATGTATCTATGTCTAAAATGAAGGACAGATATATCTAAAAATAATTCTAGTATAATATTTATCTAATATTATTCTGACCATGAAATTGTAAGAAAAGTATATAGGAAAATATTTCGTCTGTATAATTTTCTCACGATTTAATATTAATCTTGATAGGTTTACACTATTATTTTATTATTCTATTTGTATAGTTCGAAATACAAAATTATACAATAGTTGTTTATGTTTTTAGAAGTACTTAATTGTCTTAAGATTAGCTTTATTAATATCAATAGAAATCGATTTTTTCAAACAATTATTACTTTTTAGCTTCGATGCGAAGCTGAGAAGGTTTTGGTTTTACTATGATGTGTTTTTTTTTTTT